ATTAAATTCAATATCCTGTAAGGTTTAATTCCGCTTTATTATTATGGTTACATGTGTTGTTCAAATTTTGAAATTAAATAAATAGATTTATGAAGAAATCAAATTATATATATACTAAGAACACATACTAATAATTACAACTAAATTTCAACAGAAATACACAAAACAATAAAAGGGTAAAGAGACGAAACCGAAGCCTGCACGGAAGCAGTTTCCTTAAAACAGATTTCGCCGCCTCACTGGTCGAGTGCTTGAGGAATCCCGGTGTCTGTCTCCCAAGATACGACGGTCAAAACCAGCTACGGCAGAAGCACTCTCTGTCTAGCTTAGCGAACAAAACAGTGGCAGCACTCTCTCACTGTAGGAACTTTCAGGCAAACTAACTTATGAAATGGAAGTAAAAATTTCTGTGTTTGAGACTTGACAGGAGGGTCTCAATTTATACATGTATAGGGGAGAGAGGAAGAGCCTCCTGCCTTTATGGTTGTTCATAATGCACCATTAACCTCTACAATAAAGGCGGGAGTTACAAACCCCATTAATGCAGGAGTTACAAACCCCATTAATGCTCTATTAAACTCTGTAATAAATGCAGGAGTTACAAACCTCATTATCTTTTTTCCATGAAGCTAACTTCATGAGGTAATTTCTCATTCAAATCTCAATGGTTTTTGGCCATTCTATCTGTGGTGTAAAGATCTCAATGCAAAGTATCTAGACCCACTTGGACCCAACACAATAGATGGTTGGGACCCACTTTAATATTTAATTAAAGTCACCAAAAAAAACCATTTTTTCCAACAGAACTCGTAATAAGAAAAAAAATAAACTGCTGAACAAAGGCATTCTTATAGGGAATACATAATTAATCTTTGCCAATAACAAAAAATGACCTATTAATCTTTCAATTGAAAATTTATGAGAATGACAAGCTGAAGTAACCGAGTTGGTTTAATTATTTACTACTTTGTTAGCTTGCAATCCGACAAAGTCAAAAAGGACAGCCAATGCCACTTGGACTGCATGAAGGTGGTTTTTTGTTTTTTTTTTTGGTGTTTGTTTGAATTAGGAGAGATATGAGATTAGAAGAAGCTTCATCATGGTCATATGGTCTCCTATTGTGTTTTGCAATATAAATATGTTGGGGGGAGCTGCCATTTATGACATTTGGTTGACTCACAAATGTTTTCCTCAACGAATTAATAAAGACAAAGCTTAGAAATTTGAATATTTCAAAACTATTGAAATCATTATATATATATATATATATATGTATTTTTTGGTTATAGAGATTGATTTTTAATAATAATAAAAAAAAAAACAATTGTGATAGAGACCCCTACAATCTACACTCTCATCCCAACCATTCATAATGTGGGGCTCACACATACATGAATGAATCTTACACACACATCAAGGGCCAAGATCAAATTGGGAGTCATGGAACCCCTAAAAAAAGGAGTTCCAAACATTTCTCTAAAAAAAATGCTATGGATCGAGGATAATAGTTCCCGAATTTTACGAAGGCCGTGCGGTGGTGGAGATTGAATTGGTGTAATGTAAGATTTATGTGTAAATAAAATGTGAGCCATAGATTATCTTCTAGATAAAATTTCCCAGTGTTGTTTTTAATTTATGTAATTAAATAATTAAAAGGGAATACCCATTTTAAAAGGAAATTTGGGCAGGTTGATGGAGCAAGTTGATACCTGCAAAGCACGTAAAAAAAAATAAAAAATAAAAAATTTCACCCCCAAAAATGCCCGACCCGCTATCCCTTCTTTATGGAGTTTGTTTTTTTTAATATTCTAAAAAAAAAAAAAACAATTTAGAGAATTGACCAACTTTTTAAACTATTTGAGAAACTAACTTGCTCTTTAAAATCGTATTTTGAAAATGCGATTTTGAAATTGAAATTGCATTTTCAATATTCAATTTTACCTTGAAATCGCATATTGAAAATGCAATATATCTTACTGAAGTCCATGTCATCATTAATTGTATTTTCAACATGCAATTTTAAGGTGAAATTGCATATTGAAAATGCAATTTCAATTTAAAATTGCATTTTCAAAATGCGATTTTAAAAAGCTTATTAGTTTTCTAAATAGCTTGAAAAGTGGATCAATTCTCTAAATTATTTTGTTTTTTAGAATACTTACAAAAAAAACCCCTTATATATTAGTTTGATATGAACTTTAATATTAACATTGCGTTATAGTAATGAACCACATTGAAACTATAATCACCACACAACATCACATAGGTAAGTGAATATTAACACGGCTCCATTTGGAAATATGTTATTTTAGTAATTTTTTAATTTTTTGGCTAAAATATGAGATTGAAAAATTGAAAAATTTACCAATAAATCACATCTTGAGAAATGATGATCCGTTTAGTGCCAAGGATTTTCCTATAGACCAATTAATCCCATTGATTTTAGAAATATAAATTTAATATATTATTTGAAAATTAAATTTACTGCTATATCCTTATTTCTATTATGTTTCCTTCTTCTTCTTCTTTTTTCTTTTTTCTTTTGTATTAAAAAGGTAAAATACACAACTTATGAGAAACAAATTTGGGATGGATTTTTATATGGGAAATTTTTTATTTGGAATGACTTGAAATATGAAAATTTTCAAATATTTCAAAATGAGTAAAAAAATGACTTGAAATATGAGATTCTTCAAACATTCCAGAATGATATTGGATTCTTCAAACATTTCAAAATGAGTATAAAAACTCCTTAGTTATATGTATAATTTTATACTGTAACACTCCTGTCACGACCCGCTCCCCGTACCCAAGGCTTAAGCATCGTGATGGCCAGTAACTGAGGTTACCTTCGGTCAATTCTTAAACAAATCAATAAACGCAAGCGGAAGTAATATTTAAGTATGGGTACCAAAAAAATCATTGGAGCTTCTATTTTTATTACAAAATATATTAACAAAAAATGCCGATATTTACATATAAAAATATCATAAAATTGTTGTGTGTGTTTATTCTGCAACCCCGCATCTAAGACTTTCCAAAAGCTATTTCTAAATTGCATTGTTTCTTAAAAATTGGTAAACAACTATAAGCACATGGCAGGGTGAGAAATATTATACCAAGAGTATAAGGGACACGAAATAACCGTGGATAGTTAGTTAGGCCAAAACATTTACATAACTCAGTTTGGTACATAAATCATTTAAGTAGCAGAAACTGAAATACAGAAATTATGTAAATAAATAACCATAACCACGGTACAGAACAGAACAGAGGTCACAGAAGTGACAGTCAGAACAGAGGTACGGACTCAAGAGGTGGCTCGTACGGACTATAGAGGTGGCTCCCACAATAGTGTAGCACTTATCTCCGCACAGCACTTTGCTCCGCACAGAACAGTATCCTAACCCGTTTGGGTGTAGGAATCGCCACTTTTGCATGACACCCCCACATTCGTAAGAATTTATAGGAAGGCTTAACGCCTTTCCATAACTCATATGGCGTCTTGTCCACCTTCTTCTGGGGTACTTTATTCAGAATGTAATTTGCAGAGAGAATTGCTTCCCCCCACATGTTCTGTGGCAATCCAGAACTTATCAACATTGCATTCATCATTTCCTTTAGCGTCCTATTCTTCCATTCAGTAACCCCATTTGATTGAGGAGAATAAGGCGCCGTGGTTTGGTGGATAATCCCGGATTGAGCACAAATCTCAGTAAACGGTGATTCATACTCACCACCACGATCACTTCTTAAAGCCTTAATCTTGCGGCCTAATTGATTCTCAACTTCATTCTTATAAAGAATAAACTTGTCAATAGCCTCATCTTTGCTTTTGAGCAAATAGACATAACAATACTTAGTGCAATCATCAACCAAAGTGATGAAGTATTTATTGACACCACGTGATTGTATAAACTTTAAGTCACACACATCACTATGCACTAAGTCCAATGGTTCTGAACTTCTTTCAATAGAATGAAACGAAGATCTTGTCAACTTCGCGTCAACACAAGTTTCACACTTGTGTTTCGGATTAATCTTAAAAGATGGTATGTGATCTAACTTGATTAATCTACGTAAAGATTCAAAGTTCACATGTCCTAGTCTACCATGCCACAAATTGGAAGACTCAAGCATGTAAGTAGAAGAAGATGCATCTTTATTCATCTTTGGGCTACTAGTCATTACATTGAGTTTAAACATACCCCCCAACATATAACCCTTACCCACATACATTCCACTCTTGGTCAAAACGACCTTGTCGGACTCAAAAACCATGCGAAAACCATGTTTACTTAGAAGAGACCCTGAGACAAGATTTTTACGAATGTCCGGAACATACAGGACTTTGTTCAAGGTCAGCTCTTTTTCTGACGTCAACTTCAGGACCACCTTTCCTTTCCCCTCAACAATCGAGGTAGCAGAGTTTCCCATAAACTACTTCTCACCGTTTGTAACCGGTTCGAAAGTTGTAAACAGCTTTTTCTCGGAGCAATTGTGGTGTGTAGCCCCAGTATCAATCCACCATTCTCTTGGGTTTGAACCTACCAGATTCACCTTAGAGACAACGGCAGACAAGTGCATATCATCCTCCTCATGGGAGTGCTCTTGTAAATCTGCCATATGAGCACGAGCTTTAGTCTTGTATGACTTCTTCTGCTTGTGGCAGTCACTAGCCCGATGCCCATTGCTACCACAGTTATAGCACTTCCCAAAGAACCGATAACCAGGTTCCTGCGGCTTGTAAGCCGACTTCTTTGCAATACCACCTCTAGGCCCCAACTTAGAGGGCTTCTTTCTTCTTCCAGAAGATTTGCCATGTTCAATGACATTGGCTTTTACTGAGGAGGTACTCCCTCCTTTCTTTCTATTATCCTCCTCAATCTGGAGTCGGACAACCAGCTCTTCAACTGACATTTCCTTGCGCTTGTGCTTCAAGTAATTCTTGAAATTCTTCCAACCATTGGGAAGTTTCTCAATGATCACAGCAACTTGGAATGACTCGTTCAAAGGCATTCCCTAAGAGGCCTTTGTCCTTGAGCTTGGTTAGGGTTCGTCAACGAGGGGACTTTCCAGAATTCGACAAGACTTCGATTCATGGGTTCGAACACCATTTCGAAAAGATCAAAGATTTGCTCCTCAAGACACCTGATACTGATAGTATCAGCACGATTGGCATTGTAGGGACGGGCGGTTCAAGTAAAACTACTCTTGCTCAAATGGTGTTCAATAGCCCTCAAGTCCAAGGCAGTTTCTCCCCAATTTTATGGGTTGAATTACCTCAATCTCTGATTAAACCCCACTTAATTGTTTTCGCCCTTCTCAAAAGCTTGGCAAGTGATTTTTCTTGGTGTGGCAGTGCTTTTGATCTCAATGAGCTTTTGCACAACCGACACCGTTGTTTGCTTAACAACAAGTATTTGATTGTGTTGGACAACATGTGGCATGCAAATGATTGGTACTTTGATTTGGATTCTAACTCCAAGCTGCAGATAGAAGGTAACGAAAACTACACTCATCTCTCACATGGCTTGCCAAAGGGAAGTGGGGGTGCCTTCATCGTCACTAGTAGACTCAAGGAAGTGGCAAGTAAGATGGTCGGTAAGCGGAATTTGTATCCCCACGAGGCCACATTGGACAAAGAGTCATGTTGGTCCATAGTTATAGATTCAATGGAAAAGAAGATTTCAGATCACTGGATATTAGAAAAAATTAAAGATGACATGGTAGACAGGTGTGGTGGTCTAAAGAACATTTAGCTTGCAAATTAAAAAAAAAATCCATATATGGCCTTAAACAAGCTTCTAGGCAATGGTATTTAAGGTTTAATGATACCATTACCTCTTTCGGATTTAAGGAAAATGCAGTTGATCAGTGCATATATCTAAAGGATAGTGGGAGCAAGTTCAGTATGTTGGTGCTATATGTGGATGACATTTTGTTAGCTAGTAATGACCTTGGCTTATTGCATGAAACTAAGGAATATCTCTCCAAGAACTTTAAAATGGTCGATATGGGTGAGGCAAACTATGTTATTGGCATAGAGATCTTTAGGGATCGATCTCGAGGATTGCTAGGACTATCTCAAAAAGGATATATTGATCGTATTTTGGAGAGATTCAATATGCAGATTAGTAACTCTGCATTCGAATATTGGTTTAAAGCGTGGTCTAATTAATGAAAAATCCTCAATCTTATGGCGTAGACAGTTGGGGCATATCTCTAGAAATAGAATTGAAAAATTGGTGAAGAATGGGATTTTGGAAAACCTAGACTTCACTGATTTTCAGATATGTGTGGATTGCATTAAAGGAAAGCAAACCAAACACACCAAGAAAGGTGCCACAAGAAGTAATGAGCTTCTTGAGATAATTCATACAGATATTTGCGGGCCACTCAACATCCCATGTCTTAGTGGTGTAAAATATTTCATCACAATTATAGATGACTTCTAACGTTATGGATATGTATATCTAATTCATGAAAAGCCTCAAGCTGTTGACATCTTTGAGGTATACGTAGCTGAAGTCGAGAGACCATTAGATAGAAAGGTTAAAATAGTGAGATCAGACAGGGGTGGTGAGTATTATGGTAAATATGATGAGTCGGGCCAAAATCCTGGCCCATTTGCCAAATTCTTAGAAAAGAAAGGCATTCGTGCTCAATATACAATGCCTGGTACGCCACAACAAAATGGAATTGTTGAAAGGCGTAATTGTACACTTAAAGATATGGTTAGGCGTATGTTAAGTTACTCAATTGTACCCATTTCACTATGGGGTGAAGCCTTAAAGACTGCATTGTATATCTTAAATAGGGTTCCTAGTAAGGCGGTCCCAATAACTCCTTTTGAGTTATGGACTGGTAGGAAACCTAGTTTGAGACACTTACATATTTTGGGTTGTCCACCAGAGGCAATAATCTTCAACCCACAAGAGAAAAAGTTGGACTCAAGAACAATATCTGAATATTTCATTGGTTATCCAGACAAGTCTAAAGGGTACAAATTTTATTGTCCTAATCACAGTACGAGGATAGTGGACACTAGTAATGCTAGATTCCTAGAGAATGGTGAAATTAGTGGGAGTGAGAAAACATGAGTGGTGAATTTTGAGGAAATTAGGGTGGATGTGCCAGCATTTGACCCTAATCGAAAAATTGTTGTTCCTCAGACTATTCCACAGGCTGAGGAAAACAAATAACATAACGAAAATCCTTCACCACCTCATGTTTCACCACTTCATGAAGATACCACCATTGAAAATACTATAGAACCACCACAACTGGCAGTTATGAGAAGATCTCAGAGGGAAAAAAAGCCTGCCACTCTAGATGATTACATGGTGTAACTACTGATTTTAATATTGGGATTAACAAAGATCTAGTCTCATTTTCACAAATCATTAATAATGATGATTCTACTAAATGGGTCAATGCTATAAATGAAGAGTTAAAATCCATGGAATAGAATGGTGTTTGGGATCTCGTTGAATTGCCTAATAATTGTAAAAAGGTCGGGTGTAAATGGGTCTTCAAGACCAAGCACAACGCAAAAGGCAATATCAAACGATTTAAAGCCAGACTTGTTGCTAAGGGTTTTACTAAAAAAGAAAGTATAGAAGGTTATGCGATATCTTCAGGGAACAAAGGACTATATGCTCACCTATAGGAGATCAGAACAGTTGGAAGTGACCGGATACTTAGACTCAAATTTTGCTAGTTGCCTTGATAGTAAAAAATCTACATCAGGTTTTGTTTTTCTACTAGCTAGTGGACCAATTTCATGGAAGAGTGTGAAGTAGTCCACTATTGCTTCATCTACTATAGAGGCTGAGTTTGTGGCATGCTTTGAGGCTACAAATCATGCTTTATGGTTGCAAAATTTCATCTTAGGACTTGGTGTTGTTGACTCAATTGCCAAGCCGCTGAAGATATATTGTGACAATACTGCAGCAATTTTCTTCTCTAAGAATGGAAAGTACTCCAGTGGTTCCAAACACATGGAAGTAAAGTACTTAGTTGTTAGATAAAGAGTCCAAAAACAACCAGTGTTAATTCGAAACTTGAGCACCTCTCTTATGATTGTTGATCCATTCACAAAGGGATTGCCACCAAAGACATACAAATAGCATGTTATCAGGATGGGTCTTTTAAGCAACCCTTGATGTGTATGGTTAATCGTGAGTGCTTATTTTTATTTGACACTATTTGCACAATAATAATTTTGTTTCTATTTTCTTGTTTCTAAAAGTGCGTGTACACATTAATTTGAATATTGATAAACAGGAAATGTCTTAACAAAACAAATTGCAGGGGCCTTTTAGGCAAATAATTACATATTCCAATAATGAACTGGGTTGGTGAAGGTTATCGATGGTGTAATGCATAGAAGGAAATATGACATAAATGTTATATAACCACTATGACTCACATTGGTGATCTGAAGTAATCACAATATTATAGTTTCTAATATATCTGAAGTTATTGGCTATTTTTAAAATTCGTGATCACATGTCAAAGTTTTAGTGTGGAATCCAATGAGTCCAAAATTTTATAAATTGCATATTTTTTAGAAAAACTCATAATTGCATCATAATCAGCTTAATGGGTCAAGTGGGAGAATGTTAGATTTATTTTCTAGTGTGGCCCAATAGCCTACATATATCTGCATGTTTTAATTTATTTGGACTCCACAATTAGATAAAGCCAATATTTGAGATAAAGATCAGTAATTAGAATTTTAATATAATTATTCTTCTAAGATAAGAAGGAAACCTTGATGGATAGGAATTCTTCTAATAGAGTTTATGTGGCCCTCTTCTCTCCTCTATATAAGGATGGGTGACTCCCCTTTCATATCATGAGTATTTTTCCTCACTTTAAGTTCTATAGTCATCCTAATTAAGAGAGATAGAGAGAAGAATGCGAGCCAAGAATTTATGGTTCAACTATTAGGGGTATTTTGTCAGCTTCTCTAATTCAATGGTTGACAAAGGTATGTTCGTTTTATTCTTGAGCTGTATTAAATTCAATATCCTGTAAGGTTTAATTCCGCTTTATTATTATGGTTACATGTACATTAATTTCTTACAGGTAGAGCTCATGAGCGAAGACGAGCTATGTGCTCTGCTTTTCTAGACTTTAATGGAGCCCAGGTTTCTAATAGTCTTGGATGATGTCTCCTCGTTTGATGTCTGGCTCATGTTAGCATTCCCCTTTGTAGATGCCGCCAATGGTAGCAGTGTCATCCTCACTAGTCACGACTCTAAGATAGCCTCAGATGTTGATCCCTGGAGTCGTCCATCGCTGGAACCCAAGCCCTTCACTGATGAGCTGAGTTGGGAATTGTTCTTGAACAAGTTTCGTATAGGCAGACATTATTATGATACAGATACACACCACTGGTTGAACAGTTACAAGGTAAAAATTCTGAAAATATGTAGCGGTTTGCCTCCAGCATTGTCCTACTCAAACCATTGTTTTCAACTATACAATCTAATGAGTTGTTCGGTGTAATTGATCGTCTTTTAGATGACTTGGGCAAACTCGATCAATCACCTCTCTCAAATATTATAGCTTTAAGTTTTCATGAGCTACGATATGGGTTGAAACTATGTTTTCTTTACTTGGCTCTCTTTCCAAAGTGTAAGGACCTAGAATTTTTTTTTTTTTAAATAGACAGTGCATAATTTAATTATGCAAATTTTTAGATTTGATTACTGTGTAAATTCTGTGCGAAAATAGTTCGGTCTTATATTTTTTTTAAAATAGTTCCCGATCTCATAAAATTATGAAATTTTTATATGTTCACATACGAGTCTAGCACGTTGGGTAAAAATTTCAGAATTTATTGATAAGTATTTATTTTATGAAAATTCGTGGACTGATCGGTGTTCGGTCTAGTGTATAGCAGAATTTGAAATTGAGTTTTGGGTGTTTGGACCACGAATTGAGATAAATTAGTTGGGTTTATTTTGGTATATAATTGGACCATGTTTGACTTATGGGTGAGACCCATGATTTAGATTCAATTTAATTTGAATTTGTTTATGATTTATGTTTAATTATTTGGTCCCTTTTAATTATGTGATTGGTAAGTTATTATTATTTATTATATGAGATTATAATAAATATTTGAAAGTTGAATTTATGGTAGGTACCATATGGTGAAAAATTATATATTTTTATAGTGAATGAAATGAGTGCATATTTCATAGCTAGTAAGTACAATATTATATTTTGTAGTGAGAAAAATTATATCATTTTATAATTTATACTATAAAGCTTGAAGCTGTTATTACAAAAAATTATATTTTTGATAAACCAATTTATTTTTGGAAAGGCAACCCATGTGGGCTCCCCCCTCCCTTTTTCCTTATCCTTTGTTTCTTTTCCCTTTCTTTTCCTTTTCATCTTTTTGTTGGTTGGCAGAGTGTACGCTTCTCTCTCTCTCTCTCCCCCTCTTTCTTTATTTTCCATGGTTACTCAAGCCTTGAGCTTATAGTGAGAGTCTTTAGTGTGAGATTTTGCAAAAGTGTTGTAAATGAAAGTCAGAGAGCTCATCATGATCTTCGCAATGGTAGTCTCGGATTTATGATCGGGTAAGATTCGCCTTCCGGATCTGCTCTTCTTTATTATTTGAAGTAGAGACTTTCTTCATATTTTTACATTAAAGCTATGTCGAGGTTATTTTGAGAAAATATATCATTATAAGAGGTGTTACATATATATATATTCATATTTTTGTTTGGTAATTTTT